TCTATCTATCTATCTATCTATCTATCTATCTATCTATCTATCTATCTCTCCTCTCTCTCTCTCATCTATCCATCCATCCGTCCATCTATCCACCCATCATTATCTATCATCTCTCTCTCTCTCTCTCTCTCTCTCTCTCTCACACACACACACACACACACATCTACTAATCATCTATCTATCTATCTATCCACCCATCCATCCATCCATCCATCCATCCATCTCAAGGCTCTTCAAACTTGGCAAGTTTAAGACTTGTAGACTTCAACTCCCAGAATTCCTGAGCTCACATGATTGGAGGAGGAATTCTGGGAGCTGAAATCTTAAAGCTGTCAAGTTTGAAGACCCCCGATCTGTCTGTCTGTCTGTCTATCTAATCTATCTACTTTTTGTTTGTTTGCTTATATCACAACTTAATATTTTTATAAATATCTCAAGGTAGTAAAAATATTGAATATTCCTTTCCCCTCCTATTTTCCTCACAACAACCTTATGAAATGGTTTGGGCTTGGGTGAGAGAGAGGGAGAGGGAGGGAGAGAGAGAGGGAGGGAGGGGGGGAGAGAGGGAGGGGGAGGGAGAGAGGGAGAGAAAGAGACTGGCCCAAAGTTGTCCAGTTCTCTTCACATTCTTAAGCAGACTGGAGGAGCACATGTATTCCATAAAATGAGGAAGGAAAATTGGGGGGAAACGGGCTCTGTCTAACACTGATCTAACAACATCCTCAAATCTTGCCTTCTGTATGTGTCGATCCCCAGGTTTTAAGTCTTTTGAGTTCTCTCCTTAACTCTTTCTAAGCCATGGTCAGAGCTGTCCTTTGGGTGACTGCTACCACCCCTGCCAGTTTACAATCAGGCTTTTCCTGCTGTGATCACCAGCTTTGATCCTTATAGATAACACCCAATTTGTCAGAATGCTTACAATGGACTCTCCAAATACCTTGGCTAACTCCAAAACATTCTGCCTTCTTCTTATACCTAGTCCTAGTTTTGTTAAAACATGCGGGATGCTTTACTGAACAGGAAAGCACTGAATTCCAGACAATGCATGAAGGGCTATTAGCTGCAGTCCAAAACTTGATGAAGAATAGAATAGAATAGAATAGAATAGAATAGAATAGAATACAATACAATACAATACAATACAATACAACAGAGAATAGACTGAGTAGAATAGAATAGAATAGAATAGAATAGAATAGAATAGAATAGAATAGAATAGAATAGAATAGAATA